TCCGCTTCCCCTTGGCATCGGTGTTGGGGAAGATGGCTCTGGCGCCTTCTTCCCCGAGCGAAGCCGGTGGCGATGTCGAGGCGCTGGCAACAGAGCGCGGACGCGTTCGTCCTAACTCTCGGACCAAGTCCCGACAAGTGGTGCGGAGAGGAAAGCTCGGACGATCTCCGAGTCGCCCGACGACTGGGTAGCTCGGTGCACCGCTTGGAGAAGCGCCGGATGAAGTCTCGGAGGGACTCGTCAAGCTTCTGGCGACAGCTTTTAAGATCCCAGAATTCCCGTGGCGCGTATATGTGCCCCGGAAGTTCCCGACGAAGATCCTAACCAAGTCGCGCCCGGTCGTGGATTTGCGAGGGAGGAGATGCTCCAGCCAGCTCGCCGAGTCCGACAAGAGCAAAGGGAGATTGCGGATGATGAGCAGGTCATTGTCCGCGCCACCTAGGCCCAGCGAGCGCCAGTGTGTCAGCGAGCCGAGTTCGGGTTGGTCTCGCCATGCGTATTGGCGAGTTGGCCGGTACCGTCGGAACCGGGCGGGAAAGGAGCAACGCTGCGGATGGCCCTCTTGAAGACCCGAGGTCCCGACTCGGGGAAGGATCATGGGTCCTCACCGCCGTCAGAGCGACCGCCTCGGTGTGGGTGGTAGCCTCGGGCGCTCCGTCGTCGTGGCGCCGCCGCCGCCTGTCGGCTACTTTGGTCGCCTGCATGCCTCGTGTTGGTCCTCAGCAGTCGGTTCTTGCGCGAGAGAGGGCCTGATGACCGTCGTGGCCATGAAAGCTTTCTCGGGACGGGTCGAGGCACCCCAGGCCTTGTCGAGGTCGTGCCGTGGGTTGCTCGAAGTGCCTCACCGCGTGAGGCGGAACTTTCGGCCTGCTGCACTGCTGCGGTCTCGAGGAGGTCGCGGAGCTCTCCGCGGACCCGTCGCCCCTCGGTGGTGGAGGGTTCGGGCATTGCTCGGACTAGCATTGCGGCCGCTGCGACATTCTCGCTAAGCGCGTTAAAAGATTGGGGCGGCTCATCCCCTCGTTGTCGTTGATGCGGTGGTGGACGTCGCGGGCCCTCCTCGGGCCCCTCCGCCCTCACCAGCGCCCTGCTTTGCCCGCCGAGAGTGTCCCGGCCGTTGCGGAAAGAGTCGATCTTGTTCGACCTTGGCTTGAAGCTCGTGGAGCTGCTCCAGTCTGGCGTCGATGCCCCCATGCAGGCGGGATTCTCGCCCGTCTTGCCGGGGCCTCGAGACGCAGCAGTGGTGTGGCGTCGCCCGCCTTGGGCGGGAATGGTTGCCTGTCCTCTCGTTCCTTCGCCCGCCCTTGGCATCCCGAGCCCGACGTGGAAGCACTCACGAGATGGATCGTAAGTCCCTCCATCGTCGGTCGGAGTAGCCGAGGCGAGGTCGCTATGCCAAGAATTGGCGCAAGTCCCGTGGCTGTGAAGTTCAAGAAATCCACCTGGCCATGCCTCGTCCTCGTCCGAGGAGTCGGAGCGGGTGCTCAAGTCGAGAGCGAAGCGCTGGCGGCGTTCCGAGGGGTGCTTGTGAGTGGCAGCGTAAGCGTAGGCGTAAGAGGCGGCGGCATTTCTCAACCCAAAGGGGTATGGGGACGGTGCCTTCTCCATGTTCTGCCCCGCTGGGGTCGGCTCTTCAGGGAGTGGCGGAGCGGGGTTAGACGACTGGGCGTCGCCGTAAGCCACCGGCGACTTTCCTTCGTTCAGGCTCAGGCCAGACAGGTCCCCAGCCAGGGACCCCATCTAACAACAAACCGGTCGTCGAGACATCGGCGGGGGAGGCGGCGTGTCGCCTGGCTCGCGTGGCGCCGGGTGGCCTTGCTCGCGTCGTGCTCGGGCGGCGTGGCGAGCGGCCGCCGGACGCCGCCGCTAACGCTGGCGGCCGGGCGCGACTCTGTCGTTGGACGGTGGGGTTCGAGGAGTGAGGAGCACCATATCGTACTCATGCCCTAGAGACATGAACTCTAGGCTCCCCAACCAAACTATGGTGCCGAGACGCAATGGTCGTATGTAGTCTGCCATCCGGAACTTGCTAGGATGACGAAGCTGACACGCAGCGTCCCCTACCTGGCGCGCCAACTGTCGGTGTTTTGGAACCGGGGGTCCCTCAACCGACGAGTGAATTTGTGCTGCGTGCCCCTAATCCCGGATGGTGGCGCAAAGAGACACAAGGTTTATACTGGTTCAGGCAATCGAGGCCCTACGTCCAGTCCGAGAGATCGATCTTGTATTCCTTGCACCGGAGTGCTCGTAGTAGGGGGTTACAAGCTAGGTGAGAGAGGGAACTAGCCCCAGGTCTCGGCGAGTGTGGTGCGGGCTGCTTGAGGCGTTGTTCCCAAGCAAAGATATATGAGTCTTGTGATCTATCGGCTTGTTCCTCTTTTTTCGAGAAATGGCCCCAGTCCCTCCCTTTTATACTCTAAGGGAGGACCGGGACCGTGCACAGGATGCTACATAGCGCTTCTGTAAATGGGGTGGCGTGTCCGAGCCCTGTAGTCGGCCACTGTTGTGGTATGGTCGATGGAGTGGCCCCGTCCTTGTCGTGCGGAAGTGACATGCTGGTCAGACTCGGTCTTGCGCGTCGTGGGGGCTCCAGATGCGGCTTGATGCAGGGACATGGCGGCGACGTGTCGGGGTCGCCGTGTAATGACGTCGTGGGGGAGCAGCGGCTCTGCGGATGCCGAGGCCGAGCCATCGTGGGGGCTCGGTGGTCATGGACCCTCGGTCCGCCGAGCCCGTGAAGCAAACTGCTTGAGGCCTTGGGGGAGTTATTGGCCTGAGTACGATTCCGAGGCCACAAAGAGCTCGACGTGGCTCCCCATGCTGCGTTGTCCTTGGAGCGTGAGTTGGCGGACAAATGAGGCATGGGCGTCAACTATGTGTACGGTGGATAGCATAGTGACGGGTAACCCCGCCCACCCGGGACGGCAGGTCATCGCGTGATGACGTCGTGAGGGGCATGCCCTCAGAGGTGCCGAGGCAAGCCATCGCGGGGGCTTTAAGCGGACATGGGTCCTCGGCCGTCGAGCCCTCGAGCGAGCTGCCGAGGCCTTGAAGGAATTATTGCTCCTGGTACTGTGATTCCGAGGCCACAGTAGCTCAGACGTGGCTCCCCATGCTGCGTTGTCCTTGGAGCAGAGTTGGCCGCCACAGTGAGGCATGGGCGTCAACCACGTGCACGGGGGGTTAGTATGTTGCGGGTAACCCACATGCAGATCCTGTCTCTGTCCCATCGGCCATTCTCATTGTCTTGTCTGCGGTCATGCGGTTGTTGTCGAAGCGCAGCTATTGAGTTGACGCGACACCTGACGCTTTGCCGAAGGACGGGAGAAGGAAGAGGTAGCGGCGTGCTGCCGAGCCTGCCTTGCGCGAGACGGAGGGTCGGTGGCCTCGGCCGAGGCCTTTGGCGGGGGATCGACCGAGGCCCGTGGTGAGGGGGCCTCGGGCGAATCGGAGAATCGGCCGAGGCCAGCAGCGTTTAGCTGGGTTCGATCTTTACGAAATCTAAGCCGTCATTTTTTGGATTTTGCTTGGGGTACCCCTTCTCACGGTATCCGACAGTAGTTGAAGCAGGTGGGTTCCAGAAAGATTGGCAAAAATGATAGTCTGAAAATGTAGAAGGATATTGGGGCATGTTTTTTTAGGAAATTCATGTGCTACCTTGACAATGATTTCACATGAGTGACCCTGAGGCCCATTAGTTACTGACCTTCCCAATGCATTTGCTAAGATATAGGACATTGAAATGAAAGAAATACAGAACAACCCTATACACCATAGCATAAGTCTGACAAGGCAATAGATGACATTTTCAGTAGGAAGGCACTAATAAGTGCTTCATAATGCAAAACAAAAAATAAGATAGACACAAACATGGAAGTAAAGAACATGCAGACTGCAAGCAGAAAGTAAAATGCATTCTACCATATGAATTGGTGTACAATATAAGTCTTTTTTTGTGGTAGCTTCTTTTCTGTTTTTCTTTGTTGGCCCATATCTTCATCAGTCTGCTGCACGATATACAAATTAGCCAGCTGATGTGCTATGTCTATATCTGAAATCAACTTTATCAATTTATGATATGATTTTGGGAAAGAAAAGATAACTCAGTTGCTCTTGAATTAACGCCTACAAAGCTCAATTTAGCATCAATATTTCAAAAGTGGCAGTAACATTAAGCGAGCAAATTCAACAACATTCGCAAAGCCTAAATACCATATGTAATTGATGTATACAGTTATAAGCACCTCTCAACCTGAAATTCTAATAGACTGTGACTTTCATTATAACTGTGAGGACTAAGGACATGCTAGAAGGAATGTAAAAGGATACGACAGAAACTGTTGCACGGTTAAGATGAAAATGCATTGCACTTTACCTATGGGATGTATATTAGTTTGCCAAGGTGAATCAAAGAGCTGGCAGTAGACCAAGTGCAGTTTAATTTTTCTAAATTTTATTCATGCTGCACCAGGCCAAGCAAGTGTAGTAGTAACTACACAACCATCTAAAGGCATATGTCGCTGGTAAGATGATAGACACACTTCTGAAAGAGATCTGACAATGTAGTGATAAATTTTTTTAATAAAAAGCAAGGTACCTTAGTGAGCTGCAAACTATACTGATCAAGAGCTCTTTTAATTGGCATTGCAATGAGATCATCCCTAAGCTTGATGTCATTGTCATAACCAATTTCCTCAATACAGTCCATGTAGTTTCCAAACGACCTTTTTCAATAAATAGGGCATGCAGAAAAAGGAACCCAGTCAAGGTAAGGCCGCTTTCATTTATGCCTTCAGGCATCTTCTCCTAAACAACTCTCTCGACTCCTAAAATTTCAGTAGGTTGTAGAGGAGCACTAAAACATTAGACCTGCAAAGCAATAAGAATAAGAATCTCAGCATCACCAGAAACATGCTAGATAGAAAGCATGGTAGCCTTCATGAACACAAACCTAGAATTCATTGAGCTCCACGTCACTCAGAGCCTCACATATTGAGGCTTCAGAGATTGTAACTCTTGATCAAAGAGTAGAGCAGTTGGGTAGCCTTCTGGGCATAGTAGAAGACCTCAGGCACCTGCCCAAAAAAGTCAACATCCATAATTATCAATCAGAACTTCCAAATGCCAAGAATTTTAACACATTAGGCAAACACACTGTTCATGTATGGAACACTACCAGCCTTATTCTAATGTGTCTGACAAAAGTTCAGATATCCCTAAGGTAAGTATGAGACATTTGGGGGTACAAATACCCAATCAAGTATAATAAGATGCGGGGTAACCTGGATCTGTTGAAGAGGACCACTCAATGTAGGTCTCAAAATCTCACGGAAGGACTGCATGATGGGCACCATAACCTGCTCAAGGCTAACCTGCTGTGCGTCCCTCAGGTCCAGCTTGCACCCCACCAAAATAACTGGAGCCTTCAACTGCATCACACAAATCAGACAAGACAAATCACAATGGGGCAACCCAAGAGATAATCAAAAGCAAGCGATCTAGACCTACACCATGAAGCCCCGCCATGCCCTATCGAGAATCACACCTAGAGTCACCAGAGCATTACCGAGTGCGGTGGGATGCCTCGAGCGCTTCCGGCGGCGCGCTGCCTCGGCCTTCCCTCGGCGCTCGCGCTCGGCCTTGGCCTTGGCGCGCTGCATCCGCTCCCGCTGCTCGCGCTCCAACTTCTCCCGTGCCTACCTCAGCTCAAAATCCATACTCAAATCCCTTCCCTGCAATTCCTCAAGTCCTCCGATCTGATCTAAAATGAGTTTCAAACGATCTAAAATAGATCAGGGTGCAGAGAAGAGGGATGGGAGGGGAAGAGAGTACAACGTGCCACAGACGAACAAACCTTGGGGATGTGGGCACTCTCCCTGGGCGGCACAACACCGGCATCGGCGTCAGCTTGCCGCGCCGTCACTCGCCTATGCGTGGCGCGCGACGGGGACGGCGCACCGACGCCGATGCGCGATCGCGAGCGTGATCGGTGTCGAGTCCTAGACGAGGGCAGCGCCGGCCGTGGGGAACTCCGGATCGGGGAGGACGCGGTCCGGCCGTCGGACACCGGAGACGGTCACGGGGACAGGGCAGAGTTGAGGTGTCGCGCCTCACAGAGGGCCCCCCGCAGCGGGACGCACGACCAGTGGGGTGAGGCCTCCACGACTTCCTTGCCGTCTTCCAAGCCGCCGCGGACAGCGCCGGTCCTAGGATTTTGAGGTGCTCTGGCAAGCTCGTCCCACGGCCAGACCACGTATAAAATCTTACGGCTTTGTTGTTGCACCGGGATGCATGGGAGCGAGCGGCTTTGTTGTCGCAGCTGTGGATGGAATAGTTATAAATGTTTGAGTTGTAGAGATTATGGCATAATCCCAAGGGGTGTCTTTTCACTCCTCTCTCTTTCACACTTGTAACTGCTCCCGTGCGTTATATATATATATATATATATATATATATATATATATATATCTGTGTGTGTGTGTGTGTGTGTGGCTATAGAATATGATATTTTATGGCAGAATGTGTGTGGTAGCTCAGTCCAACCACATGTATGATATTTCGATCCTCATTCACGCCTCCCCTCGATCATCATAATGATCCTCATTCACCGGGCCTCATGTGTCAACTAGGCAATCGATCACATGTTGTCCAGCTGCCTCGAATCCTCATTTCACCGCCCTTCGCTCATCATTAATGCCTGATTCACCGCTTCTCAAAGTATCAATGCGGCCCACGCCCCCAAATTTGAATTGCGCTTCCTCTATCTGCCCGCCTACCACGACATATTTGCCTTTCTTGGTACCCTTCTTTTTGAAATATCTTGCACCTCCATCCATAAGTCGCCACGTCTCCTTTTCTTCCGCCCTTCCCCCGCCCACGCCCCGCCATTGAAGACCCTAATCGGTTTTTGGCGCCGCTTTCATCCTACAATCTACATGAGATCACCGCAAGAATATGATTCGGCTTCTCCGTATCAATTGCCGGATTGATCCATAAACGAAGAATATCCCCAAACAAACATTCTGTGTAAGAGCTCTCTATTTGCAGAATGATTCACATTTGTTTCCCTATTCTTAATAACACGACATCTCGATTTCAATTCTCATAAATATTTACTTCCACTTGCGTTTCTTGGTGCTAGCTGATCACCAATCCCTTCATTCTATTCGGGAAGTGGGCCCTCTGCAGAGGCCCCAAACATCCACGCTAGCAGGAAGTAAATGTGCCGCTGTGCTTCGCGGCCGGCCACCTTCATTTCCAGGGGACAACTAATGCTCATTTCATTTTGGAGCTGATCATGGAATACTGCATGCTCATTTCACTCGGCAGACCTTCAAAATCCTAGAATGGCATCAGGAGTTCGCTCATGAAACAAGGTGATTTATCTTATCCATGTGGGTAGAATTTTAGGAGCGTGTTGGGTTGAGCACTATTCTCACAACTCATGTCCAAAATTGACCGCACCTTTGCAACGAGATGCTGGTTTGCAACATTTTGCATTTGACAGCTTTTAAGCATTAGTTGTCCCTATTTAAAGAAGTTGTTGCCTTTTTCATTTGATATCAAATTCTGCCAAAGCTTCACTACAGCTTTCCTCTTTTCATGATTAGCAACCGCCACATTTTACTACTCCACCTAATGTTCAAAGTTGTATAGTAGTCACAGAAAATTATGCGTATGTTAGCTGGCTTTTTTTCTGGAATAGAATGATGAGGCATGTAGTAAACAATATCATTGATGTCCCTAAGCTGCACACACAAAATGGAAATAGGTAAGTGGCAGAAATGGACATTGACACAGAGGATCATGCTTAAAATGGGGGACAATAGTTATCTATGTCTCACCGGTAATCGCCCAAATCTGACCTTTCTTGGTCAGCCTTTGTTTGTAAAAGTTATTTGTTTAATCAAATCTTCTTGATTAAAGTACTTGGCACGGGAATGTCCTTGTGATTGATCCGGTACAAAGTAAGTTATCCAAATAAACTATCTACAATACGAGAAAAAAAATGGAAATATGGAAGAATAAGTTTACTATAATACATGTGGGTACCTAATTAGCTATCATAATATTTGAAGGCATATTATGTATGATAAATGGGAAACCGACCAATGTAAAAATCGCACATCCTCAGTAATTGAAGGCGAAAACTTTGTTGTTCTATCAAGTCACCACGCATGCGCAAAAGATCTCGGATTTCATCAATATGCCCTTGCACCAGCTTCATAGTGGGTAGTCGAGACAAATTCCTAGCCAAATAAGCATCTTTCGCCCTGATGTTGTTGTCCGAGGAATGAAACAACAGCTTGTTAGAAGCGATCATGAAGAAAATTTTAATGCACATGTCGTCGTCAAGCATCCTAGAGTCTAACTCAATGTCGGCCTCTCAGATCTCTTGCAGATACTTGGTGTGCACATCCTCATCTTCTTGTAAACCAATGAAATCCTTGAAAGCAGACAGGGCCTTGCATGCTTACTGGTTTGTGTGTAGAGATAATTCTTCACCACTGTCTGGAATGTCAAACGCTTGCTTAACAGCAAAAGGGTTGATATGTATAACCCTATCTTTACCAAGAACCAATACCATAGTATCAGGGTCTAGCCTGTCATAAAAATACTTCAACATTTCTCTGCTAACTAGCTTGTCTGTTCGGATCTGGAGGAGGCCACTAAAATTCATATTATTGATTCTGGTATGCTGGCTCATGGTGAGGAGATCAATAAATGAGTTAAAAACTGAAGGTGCACATCGAACAGTTGGTGCATGAAGATAGTTGGTAACCTTTTGCTGTTTAGGCTGTAGAAAGGAGACATAGGACTTGTGTAATTGTTCAAAATAAGTGCTAATTAATAAGAAAGAGTGAAAAGAAGGAACCATTATGGTAATAATGTAATGGGATACTGTTTGGGAAAAAGTACATCCATATGAACAAAATGGCAAAAAAATATAGTACACAGAACAAACAAAAAATAATAATTTAGTCACAATAGTATACCTTCGTAGGTGGATCCGTGTGAGGGGCATTTTTCTTCTGCAGTTTTCCATCTCTGCGTGCATTGACAACAACATTTGTAGTACGGCGTTGATTATTGTTCGTTACCGGGTGCCTAGATGGGGGTTGCATGAAGTCGTCGTCATCATCGTCCTCCTCTGAACGAGGGCGTGCCAATGGTCTTGGACAATGTGGTGGCTGCTGATGAACTGGTTGAGGTGGTAGTGTCTGAGATACACCAGTGACGTCACTTATATCAATGTTGAAATCCTCCTGTGTGGTGTGCAGGGTGAATAATTTCAATCTCCCCTGAACAAGTTTAGGAGGCCTCATTTCCTATGAAAGAATCAACAGTAAGCCATGTGGTAAGCATATTTACGACAATAGTATGAATACATAACAGTAATAAATATTTACGAGAATTTGTACTGAGAAATTTTTACAAGATTTTGTATTAAGAATAGTTACGAAACTTACAGTAATATTCACGAGAAATATTTTGCGCTGAGAATAGTTATGAGAACTTACTGTATATTTACGAGACATGTGGACAGTGAATATAGGTACTAAAATTGACGGTAAAATTTAGTTAGAATGATCAAATTTACCATAAACAGGAACATCAATTACTACTTAAAACTAGCTAGAATGATCCGCACAATTTCGGTTGAAAGCAGGAACATCAATTACTAATTAAAATCACAAGAATCATGTAAACTTACGCAGCTCGGTTTGAGATGCCTACTCAGACCAACAATGTGCATTGGTAAACAGGGACTGCGAAGGCAAATAGAAAAGGAAAATAAACAATTGTTCACGGAAACAAAAGTTGCAGTGGGCTTCAGTGAACCAAGTATGTATAGTGTAAAATTGACACATGGATAAGATAAATCATCTCCGTAGTCTCTCTGCTAGCCTAATGTGGATCTGCAGAGTAGAGACGAGCAGGCAGCTTCCCAGCAGATAGCAGAGAAACGAGCAGGCAGCTTCCCGGCGTGGATGCTTGGGGCCTCTGCAGCAGCCACTTCTGATGGAGGATTGGGGCCTCTCCAGCAGCCAAGAGCAGCGGACTGCGCTAATCAGGATGCCGTGGTAGGGGGCTGCAGTATAGAGGAAGCTGCAACGAAATTTGGGGAGAAGGAGCGGTGGGGGGGACGCGGGTGCGGGGAAGAGGCGCGACGAAGAGGGAGACGTCGGCGGCAGGCACCAGTTGGAGCGGTGAATGAGGATTCATTAATGATAATCGAGGGGAGCGGTCAATGAGGATCAAGGCGCTGGGACATGTGGTCGGACCGGATCAGCCCGGTGCGACACAGCAACCTGGCTACAAAATATCATATTCTGAACCAGCTACAGAGAAACATATCTATGTCTATGTCTATGTTGTCTATGTCTATGTCTATGTCAGACACGCTCGCTCTCCACTGACGCAAGATGAGGAACCAGAGAGTAGTTCGCCGGAGAAGAAGTGGCCGGCGTTTCTGTTGAAGGAGGACTCGCCGGAGACAAGTTCGTTGGCGCGCTGCCTCCGCTGCAAGCCACGCTGCTCTCCGCATGGAAAAGGGAGTTCGCCGGTGCAGTTGCTGTGAAGGAAGAACGAGGCACCGACTTCCATGATTCCATCGCTAGAACCGAAGGACTGCGTCCTCGATTGAGTTCGAGTAGAAGAGAAGAACGGCGATATCACGAACATGTAGAGTCTGGGAAGGAAGCGCGGATCGAGGTAACTGCCACGATTATTCGTACCTTCAAAATCGTCGATTCCAATGGGTTTCGTCGTCGTCGGGATCAAGACGCTGTTGGGTACATCTCCTCTGACGAGGATGAGAACGTGCCCTTTATCGGCCTGAGAGCCATGAAAGGGAAGGGGACGACCAGGCTCCCCGCACACGCGGCCTCGCGCGGGCAGGCGCCCCTGTGCAGCCAGCAGCCTACGCCTAGATCCCGGTGGCCTCCGCGCTCCAGCGACCTACGGCCCCTGCAGCCGACAAGCCCGTGGGCGGTGGCCCCCGCGCAGCCACCAAGGCCACAGCCTCACGCGGCTGGCGGCCCGCGCCTGCAGCGGCTGGCTTCCCCGACGAATGCGGATTCGGCAGGGACACGCGTGCGCGGCCCCCTGCACCCGACGGAGGCAGCCCAGCGCTCGCCCCACCCGCCTGGTGGCTCGCGGCCCCGCGCCTGCGGCAGCCGACTGCTCCCACAGCAGCCTCGGCCAGGCGCCCGCTGCAGAAGGTCCTGCGCGGCCTTGTTTTCACGTCTGGCGGCGGGTGGCGGGTAACGGCCAGCCCCGCACGGCCCCCGCGCCAGAGGCGGGCGGCCCGGCAAATCTGCGGCTGGCGACGACCGGCCCTCCATTGCCGGCGCCAGCGAGTCTGGAGCCCGAACGGCGTCGACGTCCGCACGGCCAGAAACGGCATCGGCAACGGCGCTGCCCACCCGGCCGTGAGGCCCGAGCGAACTGGTTGGATAAGGTTGTGCATTTAATTTTGCACAAACATCCTTATCGTTTCTGCAAACTCCAAGATAATCCTAAAAGATTATTATATTTCTAGTTCTTATGTTTAGCCCACAGATAAATTACTGCAATATATATTGCATTTATACATGATATAAATGATTATTATAGATCTCGAATCTAAAAAGAAAATTTATGATGCATAATTTTTCCTAGTGTAAATACATAATTTTGAGTTCTCAAAAATTGCATCATAAGATATTATATTGCAGATGATTTTACTATTATAATGTTTAGACATATTTTCTGTGTCTATAATTTTCTGTTTCAGTCATAGACTTTAACAGTTGTGTATGGTAGAGTTTTACTCCTATTCATTGTTTTGTTTTTTATACCAGAAATTTGTTTATGTCTAAATATACATAGTTTGTCAGTTTTTATTGTTTGGCAATTAATTTTAATTGCAACAAAATCGGATCCTCTTAATTAATTAATAGTTAATTAAGGATGGATAAATTTAGGCTCATATGAGTCTAATTCAAAAAAGCAAAATGGCAGCCAAACCATTTTTGCCAGTGAGGCTAACATAGGAAGTAGATTTTGCTTTGATCTCACGGGACCTTGCATAGTTATGCCACTAGTCAACTATAACACTATGTGCTTAGTAAGTTTTCTGTTTTAGTCTATGACTTTAACATCATTAGTACATTTGTACTTTATTAACCTTGATAATTTAATAATTTTTCCATAAATTACATCTTAACAATGGTAGATCATCTTAATTAAGTGTTTCTTAATTAATGATGGATTATGCAAAATTATTATATTCATATCTTGGATACATTTGGAATCCTAACACAAGTGATGGAGTCCTAGGCATTGTCTGCGCTTAATTCATCTTGAATTATTCGGCCCAGAGACCGTGTCTATGGTAGCGATTATTCGCCCATTACTGAGACGTCTATATCATGTTTATTTTAAACTTGATGATTACATATATTGTGTTGTCCAAAATGAGTGCTTTGGAAATATGAGAATGGTACACCTTTATGGTGACTACCATCATTCATTATTAAAGGCTACACACAGGTAGTAGAGTCTTAGGCATTGGCTGCGGTATATTCCTACGAATATATCAGCCCAGGGACTGTGCCAATAGCAGCAATTTATTTGCTTACTATTGAGAGATCTAGTCTATGTTTCGAACATAGAGACCATCTACAATGTGTTTACCAATATTAATAATGATTGTTTGTGATGTCTATACATCTTATGATTATCTCTAATTAATTGTTGGAAAGTTTATAGTTTTGTTGACTATCTCTAACAATCCAAAACAAAGTGACAAAGATATGGAACCCCCTTAATTTTGCATTAGAGATCACAATCACCATAGTATTTTTTAATTCACCTTAGGTGTAAATTAATTAAATCAATGGTTTGTCACATGTTGTGGATACTGACTTCAGAGGAGTTTGATGAACTCGCTCTAGATGGCATCACTATCCCACATGGACAATGGTCATTGCCATTTGTTTTTATCCCATGGACTAATAGAACAATTTAATGAATCTCAATTAGGGGTTGTTTGTTATAGATCAAAGGAAATTAAAATTATGCCTTACTGTAGCTAAGGTACTATGTCCATAAAGATCATCGATAAGATTATCTTGTGGAAAGAAATGCATATTCTTCGTGACTCACTCTTTAGGAGTTTTATGAACAATAAATAAGCTCATATAGCTTGAGGCTAATCATGAGTAGATCATGTCTCTATTTTTTCAAACTATTGAAGACTATGATCATATTGTTCATGCAATTTACTTCCACTAGTAAAAGTAAAAGGCCTAATGTGGAATATGAGTGAGGCAATGTGAACCCAAGAATGACAGAGTAATGTCATATATGTGGTTGTATTTAGCACAGTGCTAAACAATGTCGTACTCTTAAATTTGTAGTTGATCTATATCAACATTCTACAAGGGATGAAATAGGAGCTATAGAAATAAGATATGAAGGGTGCTTCAATCTTAAAATCTAAAACTACATAGGAGGTTGGTTGTTTATGCTGGATCTTATGGAATCACATAACAACACTTCTCCTTTTCTCATAAAGAGAACATCACATAGATGGACAACATGATCATCGAATATGCTTCGAATGATTTGTTTTGAGATTTGGGATAATCTCATGGTCCATTGATAATATGTGATAATGTCCATAAAAAATGTTGTAATACTTGTTGTCCATGCATAACTATTGTGGGTATCATATCGATGCATTTGATACTTGACAATATTTATGGACTTCAATATATTAGATGAGGATTTCATTGAATTCTTGTCATATATAGATTGTATGGGAATCATTCCAATGGGGAATGATATGTGCCTAGTGGACATTTGTACCACAAACTCTATAATTAGGGAAGCAAAATGTTCCTGGTTCTTATGATAAGAAGAGGGAATAATTTTGGCCATCGCTGATTCGATGCAATGATAGTTTGACCTATTTTGCCACTATCATTCTTCCTATGGATACTGAGTTAACAATTGAGGATATTTAATTATGTCATAATTCACCTCATATCTTAATAAATTATAGAGATATCCAAATATGTTTTCGTATGGAAACATAAAAAGACAATATTGGATATGGCCTATAAGTAATGAGATAAGTCTCGTTTTGGTTGTATTATGTATACAACCATTCTCGTACAACATGTTGCATATAAGATAATTTTTCACGCTATTGATGCATTCTAGATTTGGAATGATCAACTTGGCCATCCAAAGGGATGCGTAAAAAATTATTGGCAATTCTTTTGGTCATGATTTGCCCACAGTGTGGATACGATAAGTACCACAAGGGAAATAGATTTTAAGACCCTCTTATCTTGAAATCAGATTAAATGTCTTAGATTCCTTGATCATATTCAAGAGAATATGTATGGGTTCGATACAAAGATTGTATGGACAATTCAGGCATTTCATGGTTGTGAAGATACATCTATAAGATGATCTAGAGTGTGTGAAGTATCCACACTCGGCCATGCATTTGGTAAATAATGGCTCATGTTGTGAGCTCATTATCCTCAACACCACTAAATTTTTGTACCTACAATGACGATTGTTTGGTATAACAAGAATTTAGTTACATATCCAAAAGGATAAACGGAATCTATGAAGTATGACAAGGTCATAGCAGGACCATTGTTAGTGAATTGCTATTTGCCAACTTCATGTTGGGGTCAGGTAGATTTACACACTCCTGACTTGAGATTAACTGCATATCCCCTATACGCATTTAGTACGTGGAAATCTATAAAGATTTCCTATTTGCGTAAGATTGAGTTACGTTGTATATGTACCAACCTCACCACCACAGCATACATTGATGGGTACACACATGAAACTAGAGATCAATGTGAGATTTCAATCTCCGTCAATTGTTAAGTATCTAGATCTCTTATGGAGGATCTATTTACGACCCGTAGGCTGATTTTATTTAGATAATGAGCATTTCCTGGCATTAGGAATGTCAGGAAATTATTTGGAATGCATAAGACATTTCAAGCTCAGGATCACGTACTAAATGAACTGAATTTTGAGTTCAAAGAATTGTTGATTTGCATAATATGGCAAATAAACTGCCAAATGCATTTACTGATCACTAAGGTGTCTTTTAAACTTGTTAATCCATTGCAAGTATGTGCTTGAAAGAGTGGTGGTATCAAGTAAAACCACTCAACTCCCAATTATAAATAAGAGGGGGGAGAAGTATGGCCATAAAGCAGGATTATTCATGCTAGCAATAGAAGGTTTCCTTCTGAAGAAGTAAATGCAGGTCAATCTATGGTTGGTGACACCTTTAGAGTAAATATTAGTCATTACCCAGTGGATGGATGTCATCCACAAACCTAGCTCAGAGGTGCACCTAAATACTGATGCTAGGATATCGAAAAGCCCTGACTATCATGTTGGGAAGTCACGATGAGTCATTCAGGGTATTTTGAGTTTGATAACCGGAGAATTATATCATAGAAAGGCTATATGTGTCGACACATACTTCTCTAAATAAACTGTATACAACATTCCAAGTCATCCAGTCAATAAGATCATGGCATAGTGCTTTGCTCACTCTTACTAGAACTTGTTGAGTGATGTAATACATGCAGAGATAGTCTTGCTCACTAGAAAAGAGGTATTTTGGGCCGTGATGCCAACACCTCATGGTACCTTTATTGTGGGTACAAAAGTGTTTTCATCTAGAATGGATTGAGAACAATGTGGTGGTGAGATCAAAGCAAGACTTGTAGCACAAGGGGTTTACGCAAAGCCCATGCATTGATTTTCAATGCAAATTATTCTCCATAATAAGTGTTATAAATTCCTGATACTATCTTTGATCGGCAGTACAAAAGCATCTATTATTGCAGTTGATAATTGATAGATGTAGTGATTGCATATATATTTATATTATCACTTGATTTGGTGTATTTGTGAAGCTTTCGGGAAGGAGTTCACATACACAATCCTCATACATAAACTCGCAACATATATTGTGTATTGCATAAGTCAATATATGGCTTAAAGCAGTTAAGTCGAATTTGGTACAATCGACTTTGTGTGTATTCACTAAACTAAAGGAATACAAGATTGATTACATGTGATGTTCATTTTGGAGTCCTTGATTGGATTTCATAGTGTTATATGATAGTCAATAATCTTGACATCAATAGTGATGAACACATGTTAATAGCTTGTTGTAATCTAAAGACGGAGTTTTCAGATGGAAGATACGGACTAAACCAATATTTGATTTTATGTTTATGATCCAAGTATCTTCTCTCAGGATTTTGTACAAAAGCTATCTATATCCAGATCATATTAAGTGATT